TCAGAGCACAGAGCAACAAAACAACAAAGGATAGAAACTCCAGTCCTTTGAGTCCACCTGTTGTGTGCGATCACTGTGACCCACAGCATCCCTATAGGGTGGAGTAGAACTGTTTCATAGGTTTCCTGGGCTGTCAATCTCAGCCAGATCTGATCACTGGGTCTTTTCTCCCACAGAGCCAATGATAGGTTCCATGTTTTGTTAGCAATCAAGCGCTGTGCGCGTCTGGACGAGTCCTGGTGGCCTAGTGGTAAGGTGCTGCAACTGCAGTCCCAGAGGCGCAAGGTTCGAATCCACCAGATGCTCTGCCGGGGAAGGAGGGGCAATCTCCTCCTGTACCAGTCAGATCTGATTTGATGGTACACGCACACACACAAAAAATAACAAAATTTAAAAAAAAAAAGCCATCAAGCGCTTACCCACCCAGTCAAAAGGCTCTGAGTCAACACCAACCCCTCAAAAATGAACTCACTGCCACCTAGTCCGCTAGGACTCTGTAAATTTATACAAAAGCAGGCTGCCACTACTTTCTCCCTTGCAGCCCCTGGTAGGTTTGAACCACCCATCTATTTGATGGCAGGAAAGTTCTTAACCACTGGGCTCTTTGGGTCTGCCTGGCAAGATCCAGATGCCTACTCTAACTCTTGAGACGCTAGCAAATTATTTCATGCCTGAGCTTCCTTAGACAAGAACGTGTTTTAAACAGGGCTGCCGTGGGGACCAAGATCGTGCAGGTAGAGTAAGTTCTTCCCGCTGCACTTCAGGTGTGGGGAGCTCTTAGGACAGTCACCGTCACTCACAGGGCTAAATCAGGGCGAGACACGCAGTAGGAGCGCAGTCGATATTTGTTGTTTGTCATCGAGTGTGACTCATAGCGACCCCGTCCTATCCTGTACCATCCTCACAATGTCTGACACACTGGAGCCCAAGGCTGTGGTCACTGTGTGAGTTCCCCTCATTGAGCGTCTTCCTCTGTCCCACTGATTCTCCACCTTTCCAAGCATGCTGTTCCCTCTCCTAGGAATTGCCTCTCCTAGCAACACGCCCAAAGTATGTGATATAATGAAGAAAAGAAGGCAGAGAATGAGTCCTGGAAAAAGATGAAGTTGCAGAGTCCAGACTTCAGGAGGCTAGGGCTTTGGGGTCCAGGGAGGCCTCCTCCCTGAAGGAGGGGAAGGTGCAGCCAGAGACATGGCAGCTCGACTCAGGGGTCCTGCCAGCCACGAGGGTCTTCAGATGTTACCTTGGTGCCACCTTCTGGCTGATGCGTGCCTCACACCCACACCCCTCCAGTACGCAGGCCGGGATGGACCTTCCAGGGCCTTTGTCCTCGGCTCCGTTTTTAAAACTGCCAAGACCCTTGGCTCTCACAGGACTCAGCCCTTCATCGCATATCTGAGGAAACCCACGCCCAGGATCAGGGAGTAATGTGCCCGAGGTCACACATTAGCCCGAGGTCACACATGAGCTCCTCCTAGGACCCTGTCCTTGTTACAGCTGCCAAGAACACAACCCCTTCTTTCCTTCAGCTGGGATACCGAGGTAGACAGGACTGTACCTCCTCATCCATGAGGTCTGCTGATGTTCAGGGGAGCTTCCCCTCAGAAGCAGACTCTGAGCCCAGAAGTGAATGCAGATCCCTTTATGTGGGAGTTGATTCCAGAAAGCACTAGCAGAGGAGAGTAGATGCGAGACAGGGAAGGGGAGAGATGAAAATTGATGCAGGGTACATTATAGGCCAGTGAGCTCGGTGGATAGCCTGGGTGCAGTCCTTCCCAGGACCCCAGGAGACAGTACAGAACACACTTCCCACTTCTCCCTCCTAAAGACAAGGAAGCCAGAGTGTTCTGTCCTTCCTGGTCCACACTGATGTCAAGCAGGTTCTTAAAACCAAGACCTCAAGCGAGTGCTAGCAGGAGGTCAGTGGCTTACACAGAAGTAAGGCTGCTGAGGGCAGTGGCTTGAAAGTGTGGTCCCAAACCAGCAGCAGCACCAAGCAGCACTTGGAACTCATTACAAATGCAAATTCTTGATTGCAGAATCAGAAATATCGGAAGGGGGACCCAGCTATTCAGGCAACCCTGACACACACTCAAATATGAGGACCTCTGACCTAGGAAAGACAGGAAGAGAGAGACAGAGGTCCAAACCAGGGCTTTGGATCAGCTCAAACTGTTTCAATCATGGCCCAAACAGTGCAATCTGAACAGATTTTAATTAGAAAAATGTGGGTGTCCTGGAATAAAATCCAGAACACAAAAATTATGCAACAAAGCCCTTGAATGAGAGATCTGGAAAAGGCAAAAGGAGTCCTTTCAGGAGCCTGATGCAAGAAATTATTATTGTCAGGACTCTGGAGAGTGACTTGCATTCAAAGTAATGACGTCTGCCCATCGTCTTTGAGCCGGACACCGTGGTTTCTGACTCTGCCTGTCAAAAGATTTGGCTGTAATGCAATATACACACTGCCTTTGTTTTCTAAGCAGGAGATTATATTCTCTTTTTTTTTTTCTTCCTTACTATCGTCACACACTCATATTTTACAAGTTCAGGTCCATTCTCGTAGCACTTTGTCAGCCATGACTTAACGAGGGAAAGCCAGTTTGAAACCCTGAACCAAACCCACGCAGTCCATGCTAGGCTCCCCTCTAACTCCTCGTGACCTTGGTGTCCGAGCTGAACTGTGCTCCACAGGGTTTTCAATGGCTCTGATCTTGAGGAGTAGACAGTCAGGCCTTTAGTGCAAAGTACCTCTGGATGGACTCATAGCTTCTTGGTTAGTGGCCAAGAGCTTAACCATTTTCGCTGCCAAGGAACTCTGGGACGTGAGAGGCACCACCAATAACATTGTCTCCCCTTGGCAGAGGAAACTGGGAAGTGAAAGAGACTCATCCAAGGTCACACAAATAATAACTGGAAGAAGCAAGACAGACTTCTCTTCCCACCATACTGCCATGCCCAGCCGGAAGTAATCCTAGCATGTGGGCTCTAGGTGGGGGATGAGAGGTAGCTCTGAAAGCCTCTCCTCCTACGCACACACCACTACCACTTTGTTCTGCTTGCTAAACCAAACGTCTCCACCTGGTACATCCAAATGGTCCTTGAAGCTCTTCTGGGAAGGCTGCCAAGCCACCAGGTGCCCTCTCTTGGCTCCTAGTTGCCCTCCCTACCTCCAAGGGGGTAGGGGAGCCTTCTCAACCCCAATGTCCAGCCAGCAGGACACGGGAAAACTCAGCTTCTTGCTAGGAAAGGGCTGTCATCCCTCCACCCCACCTCCCCAGGCTGGCCTTCTCCTCACCAAGAATCCGGGTGCTCTTCTTTCTCCTCCGTGTCCTACAACCTCCCTCCTCTTCCCTCTCTTCTCCTCTGCTCCCCCTCCATCTGCCAGCTCCCCCTGGCTAGGCTCCCCCTCAGTTGGCACAGCAGGAAAAGAGAACAGGACGGGTTATTTTTATCCTGACATACTGCTGGGGGGAAGGAGCACCATCTGACCAAGAAGCCGCAGCAGCGCAGCAGCGTGGCAGTCGGGAGGTCAGAGGGGGCAGGAGGCCCAGGGCCTCCCCAGAACAGAGCTACAGAAGCAGGGCCAAGCCAGGGAAGGCAGCACAGCACCAAGAGTTCGGAAGGAGGCACCACTCGAAACTGCTGTGTGACTTTGGGCAAGTCACTCGAACTCTCTGAGCCTCTGCTTCCACCTCAGTAAACCAGCGAGGGATGCAGACCCTGCCAGCCCTGGGGGCTGTTCTGTGAGCACACATCAAACAACACAACAGCAATGCCAAGGATAAGGATAAGGACACAAGAAAAGCGCCTGAGTCGGGGCGGGGACAGGCGGCAGCCTGGGGGCATTCTTTATCCTCAGAAAGTGTCCTAATTCTGTAGGCCTGAAACAGCTCAGATCACCCAGCGTGTCCACCCCCGTCTTTCTTTTTACATGTCTGATGATTTTTTAATTACATAAGCAATATGTGAAGCCAACCTCCTTTTAGGGTAGGGAGGGGATGCATTAATAAAGCATCATGGGAAACGCAAATTTCTCACCAACCCCTTCTTGGACCCTCTTCCTCATCCCAGACATTACCGTGCTTTGAGTTTGGCTTTCCAGAACTTCTCTTGTGCATCATTGTGTTTCTACATACGGACATAGATGATACATTGATTGTGTATCCTTCCACCAAGCATTCTACCACCCATCTATTGTTTTTTTTTTTTTTTTCATTCAACAGCATCTCAGGCCAGGTTCTAATTGCTTTCCTGTCAAACATTCTTCTAGGTGGTCTAGCACTGGTCTGTGCATTGCTGTAGAGAGGTAACTCGTGGTTGCTGTGATGCTGACCACTGTGACACTGATGTGTCAAATGTGATAATGGGTACCCATGGTGGACACTGTTTGCTGGAGCGTCCCAACTAAAACAAGCCTGGAAGCAGGAGCAGTACCCACTTCCGGAATGGCTTGCCTCCGGAAACTCTATGAACAGTGCTCAGGTCTTTCATTGATAGGGTCACTGTGAGTCGTCTACGGCTCGACGGCACCTAACAACAACAACCACAGCACCTTTGAGATCCTAATGTACAAATATATTATAATTTTATTTATCCAGCCCCCTATGGATAAGCAGTTAAGTGGCTTCCGGTTTTCACATCCCAAACAACACTCAGTGGTCATCTGCACGTACGTCTCCACAGGCACAGGGAAGCCGATGTGGCACATCCCCAGTGGGCTGGAGAGGTCAGTGGTTATTGCTATGTGTCCCTCCCATCCAAAGAGCCTTGCTTCCATCCTTAAAAGCCAGCTGGGAGTCAGGCTGTCCTCCAGGGCTGGAGTGAGGAGTCCACGGCTCAGAGTTCGGGGTTCAGATGGAGGGGTCTGTACCATCCCAGCCCCTGTCCTCGGGCTGCAGTGCCCTCAGGCTGCAGTGCCCTCGGGCTGCAGTGGCCACTCTGGGCTCTTCAGGCGGATGCCCACTGTCCAGGCTGCCTCTCTCCTGGTACCCACGGCCTCACTGTCTCTCCTGCACCGAGATGCGGCTCTCTTTACCATCCTCCTGGGCCACCGGCTGGCATCCTTGTAGCGTCTCCTGCACCGGCGCAGTTGTGTTGGTGGTGGGGTTGTCTTTAAAATCTATCTCTACCGGATACTTCTTTACCTCCAGATCTAGGAGATCCTGAGAAAGCCAAGGAGTGAGGTTACGGCTGCCTTCTCCTCTGAAGCCACTCAGTTCCCTCTCCAAACCCCTTCCTTTTTTCCCCCAAACGGAGCCCAAGGCTGATTCTCTGGGTGCCTCCTGCCCCCTGCTGGCCACAGTGAAGGTGACAAGAAGTTTCCAGAGTGGGATTCAGAGGGGTTTCTCCATCTAGCCTCACCCAATGACCCAAAACCAAGGCCCCAGTGATGGAGCTTGCTGGGTTTTTAATGCCAGAAAAGAGTGGAGGGGGCAAAGGTCAGACTACGCCAGGGAGGCTGGAGCAGCTCTGTGAGGCTGGGGATTCTGGACGTCACAATGGCTAGCATGGAGAGAGTGGGCATGAGTGGGGCTGGCGTACGGGGGTGGAATGAAAGCAGTCCATTCTGCAGCCCCCTGGCCACAAGGACAGACACCGAACCACGTCTGTGGCTATGCAGGTAATGACATGTCAATCTTTGCAGTTGGTGAAAACTCTGCCCCAGCTCCCCAGTGAGGGGATGGGACGGGGGCTTACCTTATTGGGTGGCTTCTTGACCACCTTACCTACAAGAAAAAAAAACAAAACAGGATGAGGTGCTCAGAAACAGGTGGCCAATTCGGCTTGTACCTTCCCCATCCCCATCACCCAGTGCTTCCCACCGAGAACTTACTGATAAAGACAGACAGAAAGAGGACAGCAAACAGGACTGCTGTGGTGATGGGGATCGCCACCAGAGCTCTGGACCGAGGCCAGGAACCTGGAGAGAGCAAGATTTCAGCAGTGGCCCCAGCCACCCACTCACAGTTGCTCCCCTCCCTGGGCTGGTGCCCCAAGCATCTGTCCCTTGCCATTCTTAAAACACTTCCTTGACTGTGCTCATCTGCATCAGAGGTTTCAAACAGGTGGCATGCGACGAAATGTGGCAGCAGATGCCTTTAATGTGATCAGCACAATTAAAAAAAAATATTTGCTAACATTGTAAAATTGGGAGATTCCAGATTTTAAAAATTAAAAAAAAATCTAGGCATTTGGTTTCTTTTATAAATTTGGAAGCTCAGGTCTCTGGCCCCTGTGAATGGAGTTGCGGTAGCTCCCTGAATCTGTTTACCGCACTCCTCACTACTCCCTAATCTCTACCCATGCTGAGGTCTAACATCTTTTATGCCTGCATTGCTGTTCTGGTTACTAAATGATTAGAGGGAAAGTGAATTAATTATTCCTTGTCTATAAGTTCCCATTCTAAACGAGAAAATGAAAAAGGCAGAAATACAGTGAGGAAAGTCAGGAACCCTTCTTGGCATAAAATTTAAAGGGGAACCGCCAAGCCCAGCAGTCATGTTAAAGAATGTTTCAGTGCAATATTTTCAAAACCCAGCAAACTATAGTCCACAGGTCAGCTGCTTGTTTTTCTAAAGAAAGTTTTCTTTAAAGCAGGGCTAGGATTAACATGAGACGTGTAAGGCAGGGTAACATGAGTGCACGGCTCCTTTTAAAATTTTTTATATTTTGTTGCTCGTGGGAATTATTATTTTTAAAAGAAAGTTGGTAAAATACCCCTCAACTACTGTGTTTTTGGCACTCCTTTAAGTATCGTGTCCAATGCAAGTGTCAACAGGAAATTTAATTTTAAGAACGAGCGAAAGGAAAGGGATGTGCTTTTCTTATTCTGGACTTTTCCTGCTCCTTAACATGACCAGCTTTGTCTCTGTAGTTACTTGAGTTGGTGGACTGTCCTGTAGGCCAATCTCTTCATTCTACTATTAAAGCTGAGGCACTGAGAACGGCCAACATCAACGAGCTGGTACTTAACGTGCAAGGAGGTAGCAAAGTATTTGTGGCAGCATTTACAACAATTTGCTGAGAAAGTTGCTAATAGCATCTCACTTTGCAGAGGAAGAAACGGAGGCTCAGAGAGGCACTAACGTGCCCAGGTTCCTGCAGACAAAGGGCAAAACTGGAATCACACAACCCCAAAGAGCCTCCTTCTCTCACCTCTCCTTCTTCCCACTTGGTATTTCTCTGCACCTCAGGGTTCCTCTGTGCCTCAGTCTCCCCTGTCCCTTCTGCTCCCTTCCTTCTCGGCCAGCTGCAAGGGCCCATTCTCCAGGACTCACCACAGATGGCATCTGTCATGTTTGTCCCAGCTCTCAATTCTACCAGGTCTTTGGAACTGCAGCTGCATACAAAGACATGCGTGAGTACAGGCGTGCACACATGAGAGAAAAAGGTACAGTGTTTCTAACCACAGGGTTTCCAAACCCTCCCCAGAGGGAGACCATCAAACAATCCACAAGTTTGGGTTCAAATGGCACGTATTTCACGCAGCATCCTATGCAAGTTCCTATAGGTACGACAGATGTTTTAATATTTTTTAAATTGTTTCCTTTTTTAAAATTAATTTTAATGAAAGTTTACAGAGACTTAGGGTTTCCAGTCATTCACTGTTGCACTTTTCTCCTTCCCCATCCCCTCCCCCCAATTCACTCTTCTCCTTGAAAAGAAAGAAAAACTCTTTCATTGTTATATAATCCCTCCCCTCAAGTCCACTCCACTATGCAGCCTTCACTGGACTCCTGTCATGACAATAATACCCAATCATATATCCCTTTTAAACAGTTCTCTCCCTCATCTGTTTCAATACCGTAAACATCATTCCTCCCCTCCTTTTCCGTCTTCCCTCAACCCTGATGTCAGTCCCATTTTACAACAGTGATTCTATGCAATATTTGTCCTTTTGTGACTGAGATATTTCACTCAGCATAATGTCCTCCAGGGTCATCTATTTTGCATAATATTTCATGAGTTCCTTGTTTTTCAATGCTGCATAGTATTCCATTGTGTGAATATACCAAAGCTTCTCTATCCATTCGTTTGTTGGTGGGGGGAGGATAGAGTTTTCCAGGACTCACAAGAGAAGTGAAGAAAGCATGTGAACTTTTGAAAGAATAATACTAGGAGAGTGTGCGAGGTTTACCAAGCATTGTGATGCTGGTGAAAATGAAGTAAGAACCATTCAGAGAAAACAATGACTGGGATGGAGTGGGGTTAGGTTCAGCTGAAGGCAGCTGTCCTCAGCCTCAGTACCGGGGGCATGTGGGGCTGGAGCAGTTTTTGCCATGGAAGAGCTAGCTGTCTGTGCCTCGCAGGGAGCCAGCCACCCCTGGCCTCTTCCCACTAGATTCCAGCAGCACTCCCTCTCCCAGTGTGACAACCAAAATGACACAAGATATTGTCAAACGTCTCCTGGAAGCAGAACTGCCCTCAGTGGAAAACCATTAATTTAAGGAATTCTGGTGGTCTAGAGAGTAAGGAGTTGTGCTGCCAACCCAAAGGCAAATGGTTCGAATCCATCAGTGGCTCCAATGGAGAAAGACAGGCAATCTCCTCCCATGCAATTTACAGCCTCAAAAAATCTGCTGGAGGGTCAGCTATGAATCGGTTCTGACTTGATGATAGTAAGTGGAAGTGTAACGAGAAATACTTTTGAGTGAGCTGTGAGGTTTAGCATAACTACAGCACAGTAGGCAAGAAATCAGGTGGTTTTATGCAGAACAGCTTTTGGAACTATGGGAAACTGGGTCTTTTGAATCAGGTCACTGATGACCCAAGCACAGATGTTACAGCTGGAGTCAGCACCCAACCAGGTGACTTGAAGCCGAATGAGAGATGTTTTTTAAAGCTTCCATTGGCCACAAAACCCCAAGAAGGAGCGACTACAAGCAGAGTGGCCAGTCAGAGGTAATTGCAAGAGGCCCAGAGAAGAGATGATGAAGTCCTGGTCCAAGGTGGTCCCAGGAGAAGTAGGTGGAGAAGGACAACATATAGAATATCCATCTAAACGTGGGAGAAAGAGAAACCTCAAAGCCTGGCATTCCCCTGGGCCCCACATTTACCAAATTACAGATTGTCACTCGGTTCTGATCCTGTGATACTACAGGTACCGAGAGTTATCAATCAACATTCTCAGTAAATATTACCTGAGCACTTGCTATGTGTCAGGTACTGTGCTAGGCTTCGGGGATGCCTCCGTTTGGTGGGGGGAGGCTGTTATATTTTAAATGGTGTCCCCCTCCCCAAAATATACATTGTAAATCCTAGCCCTTAATCCTGTGGTGATAATCCTATCTGAGAACAGGTTTTCTTTATTGTGATAATCAGGTGGTATTAGTGTAGGGTATGTTTTAAATTAATCTCCCTTGAGATATAAAAGCAGATTAGACATAGAAAGGCAAGTGGAGGTGGGGTAAGAGGGAGGCCACTTCACATGAAGACAGCGAGGACATAAGAACCAAGGACATTCCCCTGGAGCCTAATGAGACGGATGGCCTTCCCCCTGCAGCCGGCATCCTGAAGGTCCCTTCCACTCCCCTCAACTGTGAGAAAATAAATTTCTGTTTATTAAAGCCACCCACTTGTGGTATTTCTGTTATAGCAGCACCGGATACCTAAGATAGTCCATTTTCACACTTAAGGAGTTTTCAGGCTACTGAGGAAAGGCAGAGAGTAAACAAATATGTATGGTATGTTGTTATTTATGGGAAAAATAAAAGGCGAGACAATGTGTGTGTGTGTGTGTGTGTGTGTGTGTGTGTGTGTGTGTGTGTGTACAGAATGTCTGAAAGGGCAGGCAGAGAACTAATACCAGAGGCTGCCCTTGGGAAGGGTATTTGGTGGCTGGGGGACTAGAGTGAGAAAGTGATATATCCATGTTGGTCAGTTTGTGCCTATTGTCTTATGTGTAAGTTTTATCTGAGTTATATTGTTTTTAAATGAAATGTTAAAAAAAAGTTAATGGGGGGATGGCTTAAGGGTATTCCGGGAGGAAGTGTGTGAGTCAGGAGAATGAACAGTGTGTTCAGAGGGTTGCAAGCGGCGTGAGGCAGCATGACGTGAAGAAGACGTCAGGCGACAGATCCCAGAGAGTCAGCTGTGGCCTCGGACGCCAGCCCAAGGAGCTTGGGTCTCATGCTGAAGGCAACGGAAGCCATGAAGCATTTTAAATAGCAGTGACCTGAAATGAGTTTTAGAAAGCTCACTTTGGCAACAGGATGGAGGGTCAGCTGAAGGGGAGAGAGTGGAGGGCAGAGGCTGGGGCCTCACGGTGATAAAGGCTCGAAGTAACCCAGTGTCAGTGGAGATAATGAGCACACACAATGCCCTGAGCATGAAGAAAGCCAATGGGCTAGGACGTGGCAACTGATTTGGGGTTGGAGGTTAGACGGGGGACAGCTGGGTAGCCGCCTGGAGGCACGGCGGTGAGAGGAGGGAGCGATGGGTCTATTTTGGACACCAGAGCTGGAGCTGGCTGTGGTCATCCAGGTGGGGATGGGCACTCAGTAGTCGGATGGAAGAGTCTGACACGCAGGAGAAAACACTGGACAGGAGATCCAGACGACAGTCATCAGAAGGAAGGGGCAGCTGAAGTCACGGATGTGGGCGAGGAGGTTCAGAGAGGGTGGACAATGGGATTAGAGAGGAAAACCGAGAGCAAAAGCCTAGAAAGATCAGTTAATGGGAAGGAGCAAGAGGAAGAGAAAGTAAGGTGGGAAAAAAGCCAAGAAAGAGACTATGATAAGAGGGAGCCTCCCAGAGATGAGAGAGACCACCAGTGTCTATTACGTAAGAGAAGAGGCAAGACAAAGGATGGAGAATGACCGCTCGGTGGGCGTGCGGTCCATCTGTGTGTGTTCCACACGTGTATGTGGACATCAGGGAGCAAAAGGTTGAAGGCCAGAGGACCCACGTCTCTTGTAGGGCAGGACAAGGGAGCGGATGAGGCCTCATACCTTGTCCAAGGGTGACACTTTTCCAAAGCAGATGACACGTTGGAGAAATGGCCGATTGGGCATGGTTCGCAGACGGTATCAGAAACGCCTGTGCCTGAGGTAGGGGACAAGAATCCTCACAGATCACCAAGCCAGCTCTCGAGGGATCAGTGACAGGTGAGCAGGAAGTGGCCCTGCCCTGAGCACTCCTCCTCCCACTCCTCCTCTGTCCTCCCCATTGACTTCCCAAGGAAGGGAAGAGGCCCCATTGTCTCAGATACTATACCAACTGAGGCTGGAGGTTCCAACCCCTCCACCCCGGTGCCTGAGCGCTCACTAGACACCCTCTGCCCTGTGGCCCCAGGCTCCTCTCCTGCCTCCAGAGCCCAATGCCCAGACAGGTCGCTTACCAAGCTCCTGGACCCCAAAGCCAGGGTGGCAGAGTCTATGCTGGATGCATCTCTCGCAGGCATCGCTGGCACAGTGCCAACCTTCCTCACAGACACAGGTGGTATCTGTGTCCACTGTGCCCTCCTTCTGGACCTTGAGCCCTAGGTCTGGGCAGAGGTGGACAGGAAGAATGGGAACCCCTCTCTGGGCCATGCTTCTAGCCTTTTAAAATTATTTAGCCACCAATTAACCCAGATCCTGCCGACTCAAAACATAGGACAGCTGCATTGTCAGGCCATGAGCCGGAATATCAGCCCTGCTCCCAAGCACCACTCTCCCCTACCCCCACCCCGACCACCAGCAGCCCACGCACTGGGGTCACAGTATTTGTGGGGGTGACAGCGTCTTGCTCTGTTGAGGCTGCTCAGGAATTCGCCCTCCCGGCAAGACTGGCACTCAGTGTCGATGTTCTCTGCACAATCATTTACCAATTTCTTTCCTGGAAAACATGAGGAAATGAGGCAGCCGGGTCAGCTTAAAGTCACACACTTCTCACAAGCGATGAGGGTAGGTATTAGAGCAAGGGGCACGGAGAGGAAAGTCCTGCGTGGACCACCCCACTCTCCATCATCCAAAAGGGCACACGGAAGAGGTAAGAGCCCTGGTCTTGGGTAGGCGTAAGTCTATCTGGTAAAGAACATTCTGAGAGCTGGGCAGAGCTGGGCAATCCCAAGGGCTACCTTCAGATCTGAGTCTACAGAAGGCACATGGGTTCGTGCCCGCCAGGAAAACAAGAAGGGGCCTCCTCAAGGGACTGAGGTGAGCTCTCACCTGGAGGGCACAAGTCACAGCATCGACCGTTTACTTGGTACTGCTCTGGTCTGCATGGAGGCTCAGGATGGACCTAAAAGCAGAATTGAACAGAGTGAAGAAATCTGGAAACCGCTGCCTCCACAGGAAAGAAGATGAAAGGTGGTGGGGACAGGCTGGAAGTGAAACCAGAGTCCAAAGCAGGAAATGCGCCTGCGTGGTACTTGGTGTGCTTGTTTTGTTAACTCAAGGACACCCAGGGAACCATTGGGATATTTTATAGAGCGGGAACTTTTACCATATTCTCAGAACTAGTCAGACCCTCCCACTGGCCTGACTTCCTGGCTTTTTCCTTTTCTCAAAGATCTAAAATGATGTAGCATTGAGCACCTCCCCTGGGGTCCAGAGGCTGGCTGGCTTCAGCTGGTTCCAGCCCTGGCTGCAGCTATATTTAGCCTCTGGCCTTTTCCTCCTATTCTTCTGCTCCCCCTCCTCCAAACCCCATCATGTTTCCCCTCTCCAATGCCTCATCCTTTGCTCACCAGGGCTCTCCTTAATGAAACAGCTAGGACGGCACAGTGAACGTATAAGAATAAAATTCAATTCTCCTTTTTCAAGTGGTGAGATGGAGGACCAGAGAGGCTGGGACACTTGCTTGGAGCCACACAGCAAGAATATCTGGATGACAACTCATATTCCAGTGCTCCCTCTGTCAACCTGGGTCTCATCTGCACTGTTTTCTCTACATCCAGGTACGACCCATGCCCTTAAAATGTCTTCTTGTTAGCTTAAATGCATTTCTTTGTAAAGAAAACCATATAGCGTTACCACGAAATGGAACCTTTATCATGTCTCATAAATAAAAAACAATCTTAGAAACAAATTCCACAAAACAGTCCAAGAGACTACTAGGCCATGCGGGCCACAGCTTCTATGATCCTGAAACTAGAAAAGCTAGATAATGCCCACCTACCACTGCTGACCACCCTCAAAGGAATCACAATAGCGGATCCTGGATAGAGTTGGGGGAAGAGACTGTGGAACGAAACTCGAAATCATAAAAAGGTCAGGCTCGCTGGTCTTGGAGAAACTGGCAGAATCCTCAAAACTATGGTCCTTAGACACTTCAGATTTAGAACTGAACTCACCCGACCCCCATCCCAGCACCATTCTCAGCTGAACAGGTAGGTGAACAATAACACCAAGGAAATATGTTTTCATTAGAACAATCAACCACCTGCAATCAAAAGGTCAGCATTTGTCCAGGAGTAAAGCTCAGAAGCCAAGAAGGCATAAGAGAAGGGGGAAAGAAACAGTAAACACAGGGTGGGGGGGCCTGGGAAGAGTGCTGTTAAAGTGTCAACGTCACAAAACAAAGCACATATGAATTGTCAAGTGGAAAACTGATCCGCTCTGTAAACTCTCACCCAAACCACAACACCAGTAAATAAGGAGATTCCACAGAAACAAAACCATGCTAATAAACTCCACATGGTCACTCTGTTGGCTCCACCTGGAGGCCTGCTCTTGACTTTTATTTGAAGAGGGGGATTAGAAAGTGCTTGAGAGGGGAGCTCTGGTGGTCTAATGGCAAGGAGCTGCAACTACAATCCCAGAGGTGCACTGTTCGAATCCACCAGATGCTCTGCCGGGGAAGGAGGGACAATCTCCTCCTGTACCAGTCAGATCTGATTTGACGGTACACTCACACAAAAATAATAAAATAAAATTTAAAAAATTATTAAAAAAAAAAAAAGAAAGTGCTTGAGAGGCATTAACTCTATTCTAGCTCCTGTGACCTTTGGTGCCAGCAATCATGGAGATGGATCACACTAGGAAAGTCTGCAGTTAGGGACCTCTCCAAATTATTGAGGAGTAATGATATCAGTTTGAGGACTAAGGTGCATCTGATGCAGGCCATGGTCTTTCCAGTCACTCGCTTTGCATTTGAGAGCTGGACAATGAATACAGATGACAGAAGAATAATTGATGCCTTTGAGCTGTTTGGAGAAGAGTGCTGAACATCCCATGGACGGCCAAAAGATCAACCAAACATGCCTTGGAGAGGGTCCAGCTGGAGTGCTCTTCAGGGGCGAGGATGATGAGGCTTCGCCTTACATACTTCGGGCATGTAGCTAGGAGGGGTTATTACTTGGAGAGGGACATGATGCTGGGAAGGGTGGAGGGTCAGCAAAAGAGAGGAAGACCCTCAACCAGGTGGATTGACACGTGACTGCCACAGTGGGCTCTTGTGTGTCAGGAAATGTGAAGATGGCACAGGAGAGGACAGGTTTCTGGTCTGCTGTTCACAGGGTCATTATGAGTCGTACTCAACTCGACGGCACCTAACAAGAACAACAGCTCCTGAGATGTTCCTCTTGAAGGGATGAGATTTAACAACTGTAAAGTGAGTCTAGGTTACTTAGCTTTATCTCCATGTCCTCTGTAAGATGAGATCACATTATGGGAAAAACTAATGAAAAGAGTCTCAGTTTGAGAGTCAGACAGTTTTAGACTCTTGTCCCAACCCTAGAACACTGACTAGTCATTTTGTTCTTCTTAGCCTCAGTTTTTCCATCTCTAGATGGGAATAGGTGAGCTCTGGTGGCCTAGTGGCAAGAAGCTGCACTGCAATCCCAGAGGTTAGTGGTTCGAATCTAGCAGAGCATCTCCTCCTGTACTAGTCAGATCTGATTTGACGGTACACACACACACAAAAAAAAATAATAAAAAATAGAATGGGGATAATAATATCTTCTCTGCAAACTGGGCTGTCGATTAGAAACAACACATGTACGTGCCCCGGCACAGTATCCAGAACATACCAAAACCAAATCAGTTGTTCACGAGTGATTTCCAATTCATGGCACCCCCATGTGTTGCAGAACAGAACTGCACCCCAAAAGATCTAGTCTATGACTTTTCAGAAGCGTATCACCAGGCCTTTCCTGCAAGGCACCTCTGGGTGAGTTTGAACCACCAACCTTTCAATTAGCAATTGAGAGACCATTTGTGCCACCTGAGGATGGTCCAAGCTGTTCAGCAGGTGGTAGCTGATCACGCCCAGCACCAGGCGAACAGACTGGGCATCCAAAACCTGAACAACGTTCAGCATGGGCCTCTGAGCAAATCACTTCCAGAGGGGCCTCTTACCCCAAATGGGGAAGGAAGTCAAGGAGGCCGCCTGCCCCTTCAGCACACCCCAAAGTACCACCTTGTGAACATTCTCCCTCCTGACCCTTCCCCTCGCACCTGCAGAGCCACAGCAGGCCTGGGTGCCAGCCTCAGATGCATGAGAAAGTCAGATCCCCCAGGTCCCACCCCTCTGTGACAAAGGAGCAGGGGACCAGCTCTTGGAGTCTCAGAAGCAGACTCAAGGACCAGGACAGTGTGCGTCACATCCAGGTTCCACCGTTTCCCAGTTATGAGACTGTAAGCAAGATATTTCCCCTTTCTGGGCCTCAGTTTCTTCATCTGTAAAATGAGGCAGTTAGGGAGAATCAGAACAAGAAATCATGTAAAGCGTTTAGCTCAGAGACTGAAACACAAGAAGTCCTCTATAAATAATCCCTGCTATTTCTGTTGCCCAGACCACGCTCTATTTGGAGCCCAAAGTGGGGGGAATGAGGGTTCTTAGAAGCCCAGACCCCTCTTCACCCCATCTCCCCTGGCTACTCCTCCCTCTTGCCTTTTCCCTTAAAAGCCTCCTTGCTCAGAGTGAAAATGAAAGGCCCACACTCGGGCAGCCGCCCACCCCCTACTGTCCACCCTCTCACAACACCGGTCAGTCTGCAGACCTCATGACAGAATCCACAGGCCCCTGGAATTCAGGGAGGGGGCAGAGAAGCAGGCTGAGAAGACCGAGGTTTTGGGGGATTCCCAGCCTCCAGAATGAGGAACGACAAAAATATATTAAAGTAAAAAGTGAGTCAAACTTCAGCCTCTGAAAATCCCGGAGACACGCTTGGTCGGCTCTGAGCACTTCGGGCTGCCTGAAGAAGGGGCACCTGATTCTCCCCTCAGCTGGCCTGAGCGCCCTGGAGGGTGCCACGGGCTGTCCCAGTCCCCCCAGCCATCCTGTAGGCCATCCTGAATGTAGCAGGTGGGGATACACACAGGACTAACTGGAGTAGGGGGGCAGGACCCGGGGCTCCGCCCTCATCCTTTGTTCCCACAAGATGCCCCGCATGGAGGGAGCCCCAGCTGGAAGAGAGATGATAAACTCTCAGACACCAGCCACTGCCCACACAGTGAAGGGACAGGAAAGTGCAGGAAGCCTCCAGGCCCGCCCCTTCCCTAGGCTAACCCTCTTTCCCGCTAGGCCATCCATCACCAGAGTGCGCCCCACACACACACCAGACGGCGGGGCCAGCCTCGGACGCAAACCCAGACAGAGCCCAGCCTGCAGTTCAATTTACACCCCACCCAGGCTGCGCCGTCTACGTGGACACACCTGTACCTGAAGTGCCCTCCCTAGGCATGCGCCACCTGGGACTCCAGCACCTGGGGCACTATGTCCAGCTTCCACCCTCCAATGCCCCCAAAATAAGCCAGGAAGGCCACTCTCCCGAGACTCTATTACTCTTCCCTTCCCACTCCAGGCCCCTTAATCCCAAAGTTCCCTGATGAGGCAGAAATTCAACTCACAGCGGTCAACAAGCAGCCCCAGACAAGACACTGTAAAGGCAGACGAACCATGGCGCAGCGGGACACGGACTGCGCCTAACACAGCGTCCAGGAACCACTTGGCCCCCTCTCGGCGCCGCCCAGGAAAAGGGCAGGGTCTCCCGGGACCAATCGCCGCCGCCTAGATGCCAGGACAGGGGTGGGTACACCCCCCTGAAGGAGTTTCCCCAAGACCTTCCCAGATGTTTCACTTCGCCCCGGAGTTTAGAGACGCACTAGGAAGCTGTCTAGGGGAGACCCCTCGCTCCTCATCCCTGAGAGAGCGCCCCATGGGGCTGGGGGCCCTCGGGGTTCTTCCCAGCTGTGTCGGGGAATCCTAGCAGAACCGAAAGCGTCCCCACCGCGGATGGAGAGGCTGGAAGAAGTTCTCCTCGCCCAGATAACGGAAAGGCCACAGCTGGGACCGGGAGAGGAGAACCAGAGAGACATTTCAAGGAAAGAGTTTCCCAGCTCAGAGTTTCGCTTTCCAAGGGAAATTCCCTGGCTTGGACAGTGCGCCCCAGCACCCCACCCACCCATCCATCTCCATCCAGATCCTGTTCTATCCCAACTCCTGCTCAGTGCTTGGAGGGGTGGCAGTGGGGGGTGGGGGTGAGAAAGAGAGAGATTGCAGAAACACACCCACAGAGACACACGTACCCACTCCCAAACACATACACACCAGTGCCTACATATCCCCAGGGATTGTTGATTCCCATGCTAACAAGGCCCCTTTGTAGCATAGAACACCTGGGTCCTCATCCATCCTCGGCCTCTGATGGACAGAGTGCTCTTGAGCTTCAGATTTCCGCCAATGAACCCTAAAGACCTTGACCTCGATGGTGGTTGGGGTGAGGACACTCCCAGGTCTGAATTTTTTGGTGGACCAAAAGACCAGGCGGTTCAGGTGCAGGAATAAGGGAGAGGAGGAGGTGCTAACCTCCACCTCCTGGCTTCTACTGAAAAGGGCACTTTGTCAGCACTGGGGATTCTACCTCTGGGATCCATCTTCTCATAGTGGTGAGGAACTGCGCTGTCATCCCAAAGGAACACAGTTCGAATCCATCAGCTGTTCTATAGGAGAAAGGTGGGCAATCTTCTTCCGGGTGATTTACTGCCCTCCGGAGGGTCAGCTGTGAGTTGGTTCCAACTCCCCAGCAGAAAGGCCTCTTCCCAGCAAAGAAAGCCCCTCTTGGCTGACTTCCCACCTCCCTGTCCATGCTCACTTCCGGCCTTGTCATCCCACGCATCCTGGCTCTCAGCCATTCATGCCTCTGCCCACTTCCACAAGATAAGTTCTTATCTTACACTTTTGTTTGTTCTCGTTTTAGTGTGTCTTGCTCTGGCGGCTTCTTTCCCTTCTCCTTTCTGGAACCAGCTGAAATGCTATTTCTTCTGAAGTCTTTGCCCAGCTCTCTGAGACAGACACAGATTCTCTCTCTCTCTCTCTCTCTCTCTCTCTCTCTCTCTCTCTCTCTCTCTCTCTCTCTCTCTCTCTCTCACACACACACACACACACACACACACCCCACACACACACACATACACAAACACGTGTTTCCACAGCCTTTGCTGGGCTGGACTACAACCCCATCTGTCTGGCTCCACTCTGCCAGTGAGCTTTTTGAAAGACAAGATTGGCTGCATCCCAGCCCTAGGCTGGGATGTTAGTTGGCCTTGTTAAGGAGTTGTACTACCAATCCAAAGGCAGGCAGTTCGAAACCACCAGCTGCTCTGCAGTAGAAAATATAGGCAGTCTCCTCCCATGCACATAGTCTCTGAAAACCTGCTGAAGGGTTAGCTATAAGTTAGTCCTGACTCAATGGTAATGAGTATGTATTTGTTGAATGATTGGGTGAATGAAAAAAATGAGTGAATGAATTAATTAGTTCAATAACCCTAATTAGTACAAACTCCACCATGCAAAGAAATTGGGGGCAGAGGGTGCATATTTAGTGATTGGCACAGAGCTTGGGCTTCAGTGGACCTTTGAATGAAAGGTGTACTTGTCAGATAACCAAACACCAGGAGCACCTCAAATCTGGATTCAGGCAACTTTCATGTTAAAACCACTTAAACATGCCAGGATGAAGAGAACCTTAAAATATCTCTTTCCTTTTTCATCCACTTTGGGGGAAAAAAAGTACGGTTTTTAATTCCTTTGGGAAGGGGCGTTACTATAATAACTTCAGTCATTACTTATTCTTTATTTGCTTGATTCCAAAATTGGGCCCTTCACAAAACGGCCTCGGGAAGCGAGTACACAGAATTAAAACATTAATTATATTATATAAAACATAACACAGCAGCAATTACAGCAGCTCAAATTAATGTGTGAAGGAATAAATAGTAGCCTTCGGGTTACTCCGTGGGGCGAAGACCAGATAAGATAAAAGGAAGATATTTTAGTACATACATACCCCGAGGGAGCATGTGCTGGTGGGCACAGGCCCAGCGGAGAAACAGAACCTTCCTGGGCTGAAAAGAGTGCACTGGAGAAGCAAAGAGCTGTCCGGTTTTCTAGAGAGCATGGCAACATTTCAGAGCTCCATATGAAAGAGGAGAGCTGTGAAAGTCTCCAGAGTAGGAGTGGAGCAGAGGACATTTCAGAATAATGGAGTGTCTAGGTTTTGGAATCACAGAGGGAGTGATCTTGCCAAGGGTGGGAATGGGACTAAGGGGCAGGTGAATGAGAGAGAGGAGGGCGTAGAGGACAAGTGTCCACGGGGCTGCCATAAATCAGTGACCAATCACTCTCTATCTCCTACTGCTATAGAGTTGGAAGCAATTCCCAGTTAACCCTCCAGCAGGTTTTCAGAGGCTGTAAATCTAACAAGAAGAGATTATCCATCTTCCGAGCTGCTGGTGGATTCGAACCGTTAGAGAGGTGCCACCTTGAGTTAGCAGCGCCTCTCTCTACTCACTAGGCCATCAGGTCTCCCAACAGAGTCTACGAAAAATGCAAACTCATGCACACCCATGTTTATCACGGCTTTGTTCACAATAGCAAAGAGGGAAACAACCCAAGGGCCCATCAACAAACGAATGGATAGAGAAGCTGTGGTATATTCACATGATGAAATACTATGCTGCATTGAAAAACAAGGAACACATGAAATACTATACAAAATTGATGACCCTGGAGGACATTATGCTGAGTGAAATATCTTAGTCACAAAAGGGCAAATACCGCATGGTGCCACTGTTGTAGAATGGGACTGACATCAGGCTTGGGGTGAGACTGAGAAAAATTGGATAAATTATGTATACTGCATTGAAACAGATGGGAGAGAGAACTGTTTGAAAGCGATATATGATTGGGTATTATGGTTATGACAAGAGTCCAGAATGAAGACTGCATAGTGGAGTGTACTCAGAGCGGGGCGGGGGAGGGGGATTATATACCGAAGAAAGAATTTTTCTTTTACTTTTCAAAGAGAAGAGCAAACTGGGGGAGGAGGGGTGGACAGGGAGAAAAATGCAACAATGAATGAATGGAAATCCAAAATCTCTGTAAACATTCATTAAAATTTTAAAAAATAAAAACCCAAACAACCTAATAATAACAACAACAAAAATGAAAAAAAAGCAACTCAATTGTTCGGCTCCCCAGTTTAAGGTGACCCCCCAGAAGCCTCGTTCTTTGAGCTCTTGAGGTTGTAAGCCTGGCTGCTCTGCACCTTGACCCACACCTCCCTCTTCCCACTTGATGCTCGAGAACCTTCCCCAGTTGTATCCCACCATCAGCCTGTCTGGGAAGCCCTTCTCCACTCTCCTTTCCTCCGGCCAGCCTCTTCTCCTTTTTGAATGCTCTTCTCAGGTGCCCTTCTCCCAAAAAGCCCTCACTGACCCCGTTTCTGAGTCTTGCGTACCTCCTTCCACCTGATACTCCAGAACCCGTGGGCTACTCAACTAAGCAAGATCCTCCCACACGATATTTCCATTTTTCTGTTTACTTGTGGAGTCATCATATCAAGGCAACTCAACCTGGTAACACATAATAGAGACGCTTTCTCCCTTAATCTCTGCTTTCCACCACCCTGTGTTGACTCTCCTTCCTCCATCCCCTAATAACAACCCAGACGGCTTGGGTTACTTTTGGATCACTGTCCGTTGCTAAACCTCCCTGCTTTAAAGCCTTCTTCTCAAGCACAATTTCAATCTCATTTCATCTTCTCCCTTACTCATCCAAGGTTTGAACTGAATCAGGACTCCACCTGCTTGGAATGAAAGATGTGAAAGAGCATGATCCACTGACAGCCAGCCCTTAACATCTCCCTACCCCGCAGATGGGATTGTGAGGGGAGGAGTGGGAAAAGGCCAATAATGGTCCATGTGTGTGTTTGTTTGTTTGTTTGTTTATCATAAGTGAAAATGTATCTTATGTACCAAGTGTTGATCTTGTTTCTTGCTATGTAGAGGTCTAGGCTAGGCCATCCAATGAAGACCACTTAGTCCAACTTGAAGCCAATATCCTTGGTGCTGGAAACACTGGCTGCACACATTCAGTCCGTATTTCTGCATCAGTCCGTGTCGGTTTGAGCACACGTGGCCGGAGCGGGAACTCTGGCCGAATTTTCACGGGTGACTCCAGTACAGCTGCCAGTGACGCATCTCGCTTGGAGGAAAGCACCAAAGCAAAATGACCAAGGCAACCCGCGCGTGCGCTCTTCAAGTTTCTGCCAAATGATGGCCCTCGCACTAACCCCTTCGGATGATTGACTCTGCTTCCCTGGCTAACCTGAGTGATGGGAGTCCACACGTTAGCTTCTCAGGCAGCATGGAAATACATTTCTGAGGGCTTCTCCACCCCAGAGGCCTGAAACAGCATCTCAGGTCTCACCTGTCCCCACCGCCTCAGCTGCTGCCACCAGTGAGACGCTCTTGGGTGGAACCCTAGAAAAATGCACGAAAGCAACATTATGCACGAGAGCAACATTGAGCAGTTGGCCCAGAGGCATGGACACGTTCTGGCCAGCTGCTCTGTCATGTCCCTGTTGTCCAACGATCTCCTCAGAGAGGCACAGGAGGGG